AGCGGGAGGAACAGACGGGGACCCTGGGAGTGGGGAGTGGTGTGCACGGAGGGCCGGGGCCCGGAAGGACAAGTGCGGAACGCTGAAAACAGGACGGTCTGGGGAAGACGGCCGAAGGGAAGGCACGCGGAGTGTGGGGGTGGACTGTGTTTAGGGCTTTGTTTTTTCAGAGCAGCTTCGGGTTCACGGCAAAACCGGGTGGAAGGTGCAGGGTTCCCGTATTTCTCCCGTTCCCCGCCCCCCACACACAGCCTCCCCCACCAGATGCAACCTTGGTGACCACTGACGAGCCCACATGGACACACTGTGACCCCCGAAGTCCACGGTTCATCCTGGGGTTCACTCTTGGTGCTGCATGTTCTGTGGGGTTTTTTAAAAGATTTTATTTATTTATTTTTAAAGAGGGAAGGGAAGGGGAGAGAGAGAGAGAGAGGAATATCAATGTGCAGTTGCTGGGGGTCATGGCCTGCAACCTAGGCATGTGCCCTGACTGGGAATCGAACCTGCGACACTTTGGTTCGCAGCCCACGCTCAATCCACTGAGCTACGCCAGCCAGGTGTTCTGTGGGTTCTGATAAATGTACGGAGACGTGTATCCACCATCACGGCACCACGCACAGTAGCTTCACTGCCCTAAAAATCCTCGTGGTCCGCCTGTGTGTGCCTCCTCCTCCCCCCAAGCCCTGGGAACCTTCTCAGACTGGCTTCTTTCACTTACTAGTGTGCCCTTCATGGTTTCATGGCTTATTTCTCTTTGGTGCTGAGTAATACCCCCTTTTCTGGATGGACCAGTTTATTTACCCGTTCACCTACTGAAGAACAGCTCAGCTGCTTCCAAATTTTGGCAATTAGGAATGAAGCTGCTGCACACATCTGTGTGCAGGCTTTTGAATGGACATACGTTTTGCAGCTCCTGTGGGTAAATGCCAAGGTGTGCAGTTGTTGGGCTGTGTGGTGGGAGTTCCGCCTCCTCGTTAGCAGCCGGTGTTGCGGGTGCCCTGAGTTCGGTCGCTCCCACAGGTGTGTGGCGGCAGCTCCCTGCTGACGTGCCGTAGAGCGCCCTCGCCTGTGCTTCTCTGCCCCCACTGTAGGTCTTTTTTTCTCGAGGTGTTTGTTAAGCTCTTTGACCCAGTTTTAAATCAGGTTGTTTATTTTCCTATTGGTGAGTTTTGAGAGTTCTTTGTGTATTTTGGAGAACAGTCTTTTATCAGATGTGTCTTCTGCAAATATTTCCCCCCAGTCCGTGGCTTGTCTTCTCAGCCTCAGAAGTTTTTCATCTGAATGAAGTCCAGCTTCTCTAGTCTTTCTTTAAGGAACTGGGCCTTTGGCGTCACATCTGAAAAGGCATCACCGTGCCCACGGTCGTCTAGATTTTCTCCTGGGTTATCTTCTAAGAGGTTCACAGTTTTGCATTTTATATTTGGATCTGTGATTGCTTTGAGTTCATGTCGGTAAAAGGTGTAAGGCCTCTGTCTGGACTCATTTGGTGGCGTGTCCATGTCTGGGACTCCCAGCTGTGAAAGGCTTCACAACGGCAGCATGTCACGGGTCAAACGTCCGGGGCTCAGATGCTCAAGAGAGGAGGGTCTGGCTCCCCTCACTGGGCAAGCAACGCCGACCGACCGGCAGAACTGCCGGCTGGGGCGAGGTGAGGTCGAGAACAGGCGGTGGGGGAGCGTGGACGTGTTTTTTATTCAGAGTCTCGGGGGGTCCCGGCAGGCTGAGTGAGCCCCAGCTGCCCACTCCTCAGCCTCCCACGGGACTCCGGGAGTCACTTCCCAGATGAACCACCGGCACCCTAGCCCTCGCCCTGAGCCCGCATGTGGGAGACCCGAGAAGACGCTTCTCAGCAAGGTTGGCGTGAGGTCACGGCCAGGCGCCTGGCGGGAACCCGGACACAGTGCCTCCTTCTCCCAGACGACCAGTGCAGTCTGCTGTGGTTTCTTGCCGGGGAGACCCGGGCTGGCTCCTGGTGACCGTGGTTTCTTTCCTAAGTGCTCAGGAAAACCCATTTAATAAGCTGTGAATTTGATAGTAGGCCCCGTGTTACTTTGAAAAATTGTGAAAGATTTTCAAATTCCAATTTTGATTTAACATCAGTAGTTTTTTTATCTGTAAAATACTTAAGCTTTCTTTTCTATATACTGTTGTGAATTGTTTTGTTTAAATACTACCATCCAAATACTAAATAATATTTTCTCAAGATGGCTTTTGTTTCTGAAAGAAGACCTTACATGAGAGAAACGGTGCCTTGAATGTCTGATGGCAAAGCTTTAGGAGCGCCGACACCGACCAGGAAATTAATGCCAAGTTTCTGTGGTCCGCCGTGTCTACAAGCTGCAGGCATTTAAGAACACAAACAACTCTGGAAACCCTTTGCAACTCACCAGGATGCAAATAATAAACAGCAAAGGCTTTATCAACCAGGATTACAAATTCAATGCAGAGAAATATTTTCCTTATAAAGGGTTATATAAGACATAAGCATGTGACCATAAACATTTATTTAACATGCAATCAAAATGTAATGTATTTCTCAGAACAGCATGTCACCTGAACAGAAGAAATGAAGAACACACACCCTTCACATTTATTCTGGTCAAGCCGAGGTCTGAGCCGTAATTCAGCAGGAGCCTTGAACTGTTCCGTCCGACTGAAGCTGGGTCACGACAGCCGCCCCCGCAGCCCCTCCCTCCAGCTGGAGACACAGCGAGAGTTCAGCCAGGGCTTGGGACGCCGGTCCTAGAAACCCACAGTATGTGGACTAGAAAGGCTTTTATTTCTTAGTTAAATGAGATAAATCCTAAAACTAGGTAAATATTCAAAAAATGTAAATGTGCAACTGCATTTTGCTAAGGGCATGACACACACACACACACATGACAAAAGCAGGGCGTAAAAGGTATTTATATGTGAGAAACCATCATGTTGATGTATGGCAGAGCATGTCACATGGTCTGTCTTCATGGGGCACACAGTTGGGGCTGAGGTTTCAGAGACACTTCTGAATTAGTGACCGAACGGGAACACCAACTCCACTCACACTCACAGCTTCCCATCGTACCCTCCTCCCCCGTGGACGTCAGACTGAGCCGGCCGCGGGGAGAAAGCAACTGAGCGGTTTCTGCAGGACGCAGCTGCCGTCTCGGCAAGAGTTCTGGTTCTGAATTGTAGCCGGTCCCGGCCCACGCCCAGTGGCATCGATCCTCAGGGAGCAGTAATTTGGGGATAAAGAAATGCGAGGGGAGACAGGAGGCCCTACAAGGCCGCCGAAACTGACGGGAGACCTACACGGTGGGGGGGGCGGGGCGGTGAACACGCAGCCAATGCCGGCTGGGACGCCCTTCCCGCCCTTCCCGCCCTTCTCCAATGGGGCCGCCTTTTAAAGGCCGCTTTCCATATTATCGTGGGGCAGGGGGCTATCTCACCTCCTGTCATCTGTTCCTTCAATATCCCAACACGCAGCCCACAAGGAAACAACACCGCCAAAGCCAGGGTTCAAAGCTTCGATAAAAACCACGAGCCTTACCCTCTGAGCAGCACACTGTCCTGGGCGAATCACATCTTCCCGTGTGGGAGCGGAGGGACCTCTCTGGGCACACAGTGGTCACTCGGGGCGTGACGCTCTGCCTCCGCAAGTGCGGACAGCAGGTATGTGCTGACGTTGTGGCACAGGTGCGCGCTCTCCCTCTGAGGTACTAGTGCTTTAAGGACTTGGTCTTATGACCCATAAAGTGTGTCGCTGCATCACACGGCCGCAGACACGATGCCTGACCTCTAATGACTCATCTAAAATCACGCAGGAGGATGCAGGACCAATGGAAACACTGTCATCAGAACCTCCTGGAAATGCAGTTACTGGAGATGCACACAGTAAACTACAGGCAGATGCCGCATCTGAGGTCCGGTGACTGATTTTAGGTGGAATGTTTAAGTCTTTTTAAGTGTTAATTAACGAGTAATTTGAAGAGTATTGGGGAAACTGAAATATAAAGATTGCAGCTGTCCCCCCACATCTGTGGGGGGTGGGGGGGTGGTCCCAAGGCCCCGGCAGACGCCTGGAACTGCGGCCGGCACTGACCCCTGTATCTCCTGCTCTTCCCCTGGACACACGCCTGCTCACTCGGAGGAAGCACTCCACGGCTTCTCTCGGCCCGTCCGAACTGCCGGTCCCTCCCCTCTTGCCTTTGGGACTAGTTATTGGGTAAAACAGGGGAGACTGGAACTCCAGCACTGCGACACTGTGACAGTCGACCTGGTCGCCGTGCGCGCGCAGGGAGCGTACGCGGCCTGGTCACGCTGGACAAACGGCCGGTTCACGTCCCAGGCGGGATGGAGTGCCATCGTGTGAGATTTCATGCTACTCAGAACGGGTGTAATTTAAAACTTAGATTTATTTCTGGAATTTTCCATTTGATCTTTTCAGACCAAGGCTGACTACTGGTAACTAAAACCACGGGAAGTTGCCCTGGCTGGTGTGGCTCAGTGGACTGAGGGGCAGCCTGCGAACCAAAAGGTCACCAGTTCGATTCCCAGTCAGGGCACATGCCTCAGTTGCAGGCCAGGTCCCCAGTAGGGGGCATGAGAAATGCAACCACACACTGATGTTTCTCTCTTTTTCTTTCTCCTTCCCTTCCCCTTTCTCTAAAAATAAATAAATAAAATCTTAAAAAAAATAAAACCATGGAAAGTGAAACTGTGGATAAGGGGGGGGGCCACTGTACATTCATTCTGAGCCCAGGTACTTTCTCAACGGTCGGAGTGTAGGTCGTACTCGACTCCTCCATCAGTTTTCTTGTAAGTTATGCTGCAAGAAAAAGCCTGAACCCCTGCTGAGAAAGACAGCATTTAGGCAGACCCAAGAAGTTAAATTCCCACGTTCACTGTTAATTTTCCTCGGAAGTGGTAAATGCGTTGCCCATAATACATAGTATTTACATTTCCAAAGAATTCATATATCTGATAATCAAATAGAGAAAATAAACTAGGTTTCGTTTTTAAAAATAAGGTTTATTTGTAATAACTATGGTTCATAGCACTATGCCTGTATCTACCCTGGGGGATGCACGCGTGCAGAGACCGCTGGCTTTAATGTTTACTGAAGAGGTGCACTCTTCACACGAATGCAAAGGGACAGCACTCCCCTTCCCGCGCTGGAAACCTCTTCCCTGCTGTGAAGGACCCTCAGTGCGTCTGAACTAAGACTCACTGCGACACGCGGCGGAGGGGAGTTTGGGGCGGCCTGCCCGAGCCAGGCTCGCGCTCCTCGGGCAGACACCTGAAGACAGGCAGGCACGCCAGTTTTACGTGGTAGGAGCCAAGCCTGAACATGGGAAAAACAGAGAGGGGGGATATAATCAACCGCTTCAGAATACACGCCCAAGGTGCGGAACAGCAGGTACGCTCATGTTTCGTGTGGCAGCTTCAGAGGAAATCTTCTTCCATTTTTAGTCTTCGGGTTCGTATCTGGAAAGACATAAATTAAGAGCGTAATATAATACCTTTGTTGTCGTCATTGTTACCGAGTGCCCATTCCAGGAACGCTGCATTTCCCCTTGAAATCACTGCTACGGTCGGCATCAGACGTGCACGGAGCGTTGTGAAGGTGACTCAGGGCATGCCCGGAGCGGGGAGAACAGACCAGCTTACTGCCGAAATCCCCTCAGACTCGAGTCTCTGTGTCCGGCAGTCAGACCCACGACAGCATCGTAGAAATTCAACAATCATCCAGATGATCAGACCACCACCACTAGCGACACCGCTGTGTGAGTGAAGGGGGTAACTAGCCCCCTTCTCACAGGACAGACCTGACCTTGGACTCACCTCCCAGCTGTTCCCCGGAAACCCTAACGAAGGCAGAACGTCAGCTGAGTTTCCAGACGAAGCCACTGACGGCAGAAACGCCCCTGATGACGGGACCGCGAGCACGCCGCAGGTGCCGCGGCCGCCAAAGAGCCCGTTTCGTGTTCCCCAGACGGTGGCTCCAGCAGCGCTCAGCTGTCTTTAACTTCACTCAGAACAATTTCGTTCAGTTGTATCGTGACAGCTGTCGTATCAGCATGCATTAAAAAAATGGGTGAATTTTTGTGTGGCCGTTTTAATATTGAAGATGGAAGAAAAATATCCCACATTTTTGGCATATTATACTTTATTATTCTAAGAAAGGTAAAAATGCAGCTGAAATGCAAAAAAACCCACAAGATTTGTGCAGTGTGTGGAAAAGGTGCTGTGACTGATTGAATGTGTAAAAAGCGGTTTGCAGCAGGTGGGGTCTGTCGGCTGGCTGGTGGGATGGCGGATACTGGAGGTGCAGAAGGCAGACAGGGTGAGGGAGAGACTTGTTTTCTAAACAATTACGATGTAGGGTGCATGGGTTTGGGGGTGACCAGAAGCCTTGTACTGGGCCGGTGGACAAGGCCTTGTTGCAGAGGTCATCACTGACATCACTCAGAAAGGCAGTGAGTGTCAGCTGGGAGGCAAGGGTGGGTACAGGTTGAAGGTATCTCCTTCTGGATTTGAAAAGATCCAAGGAAGTTTGCGAGAGGTGAAGACTTGCTTACTATACATGAAGAATCGAAATGAGCTAGAAAAGCATTTGATGAAGCAAACCAGATCTTGACAACTTCTGTACTTTCTGAAGCTTCATTATCTTCTGCAGAGACCATATATAAAAATAACCCGTATGGTTCTGGCTGGTGTGGCTCAGGGGATGGAGTGCCGGCTTGCGAACCAGAGTCACCAGTTTGATTCCCAGTCAGGGCACATGCCTGGGTTGCAAGCCAGGTCCCCAGTAGGGGGCGCATGGAGGCAGCCACACATTGATGTTTCTCTTTCTCCCTCCCTTCCCCCCTCTCTAAAAATATAATCTTAAAAAAAAAAAAAACTGTATGTTTTCCATAGTAAAGCTGACAACTAGCCAGGTGAGTGACAGATGGGGAAGACCAAGTTTCCCACCTTTACTGTCGTGTCTTTGGTTCTGGGGTAGCAGCTGAGCCGCTGCCCGCCTGCCTTGATGCTGCTGCACCCGAATCACGTGCTGGGTTTTCGTGGCCAGGTGTGAGCTGGAGGACCTGGCAGGCCGTGCAGAACCGTCGGACTTTTGGTGGTCTGAACGGTGAAGCAGTGTTTGTGTGTTAGGTGTGTCTGAGCCATTGCAGGCCATGCCTTTTTAATGTGCGGTCTGGACGGCGCCTTTGGGTTTATGGGAGCTGAGACACGATGGCTAACACTCTCAAGTTTTCAGACCACAGCAGTCTGGGAGATTATTAAAAGACAATGAAATGGTTTGTGTTTCTTTTAAAGAGAAAATGATAGAAGAAAATACCCTTTATGAGTGTTTATCTGTCTTAAGGTAATAGTTTAATAGTCTTTCCTTCCGGTGAAGAGAGGGATTTAGGGGAGGGAGAAACTGAAAAGTTTCACAGATGCTTCTGTGTTGAAGCCTTTTTGATTTAAATCCTTTGGGGCTTATAATATACTATTTGTCAAGTTTTAAGGGAACTCATTTCCCCAGGTCAGATTTCCCTTCTAAATAAAAATAAAATTTTTCAGTAACAGAAATGGCGCTGCTTTAAAAGCGGGCGGCGGCTAACCGTTTGGGCAGCGTTCTGTGCACATCTGTTAGCACTTGCTCATCGTGGAAAGGTGCGCTTGACTAAAACCCTACGTGGCTATGGAAACCACTTCTGCAGAGCAGGATACCCAGGTTTTGTGTGTGTTAGCTTATTGTATTAACTTATCGTACGTAGCTTACATTAAAATAAGGATTAAAACTGCGCTTAGAGAGGAAAAAAGTGGTTTGCCAAGTTCCCTGGAACCACTGACATTTTGGCCAAAGAATTCTTTGCTGCGGGGCTGTCTCCTGCACTGGAAGATGCTGAGCAGCGCCCCTGGCCTCTGCCCACCAGAAGCCAATAGCAGGAGAGAGCCCACATACTCCGAGTATCCAAATCAATGAAGTTACTGGTGAAAATGAAAAAAGTAACGCACTTTTTGGCCAACCTAATGTGTGGTGGTGGCCACGACGAGGGCTTTGCTCAGTGTGGCGAGTTGTTGTAACCGCACTCGTCCCTGCCTGGGGGCCACACGGCCAGACAGGGACCCTGGTTCTGTGTGAGCGAGCATGGGCCCTTCGGCATGCCGCCCACGGCACCCATCTGCGTGGGTCCCTCTCTCTCTCGCACCTACACTCTCTCCTGAGGGCTCGGCACGACCAGGCCCCGGGTGCCGCCAGGACGCCGTGCAGGAGAGACGCCCAGTGCTGCCCTGCGGGCTGGCTGTGTTCCCGCGCGGCATCCCGCTACCTGAATCCGCTGCCAGGAGTGGCCCACCGCAGACAGGTCTAGCGGAACCTAAAACACTGCGCTGTGCTCGAATGCGGGCCTGTGGGTCAAGGAGAGGGCAGCCGGCCGGCCCTCCCTGGACAAGAGCTCCGGTTCCTGGAAGGACAGACCCCACCCGCGGGGAGGCAGGGCGGGGAGGCCGGCCGGCCGCACGGCTTACTTCGCCAGTCTTTTCCGCAGGTCTTTGATCTGGTCGTTCTTCTTGGTCAGGATCTCCTTCATGTTTCGGTAAGCTGCCGTTTGTTGGAATTTCTTCTCTAATTCCTGCAGTGAAAGATGTAAGCCCAATGCTACGAAATAGGTAAGGAAAGAACAAATCTGATGAAAAAGTACATTTTTTTTTGCTCTAATTTTAGTGATAGTCTGCCTGTATTATTTTGTGATTTGTTTAAAAAGCATACTCATGTAAAATTAAGAGTATGCAAATTTTAAAAATACATTCTTTCAAATGCGAAGTCAGTAAAATAGTAGTATTTCTCCAAAAATGTTGTCAGCAAGGAACTCAAACACACTACGCCCCAGACACGGGAAATCTACTTGAGACAGGAAACTAATTTTCAGGTATAAGAAGCATGATCTTTTTCCAACCCCCAAAGCAGTGTCAGTATTTTAGGGGGATTTTTACATTAGTTACATTTTTGCTCCCAGATTCTTTAGCGTCTAATCCCTGAAGTGAGAACCCAGGCCGCTCCACAGAGTCCTCTGAAAACGAAAGCCGCCCCCCCCCTGCCAGGCTGGAGGTGGGGCGGGCGGGGGGCCAGCCGCCGTGGGAGCACCTGCTGCCGCACCACGCACGGGAGCGCAGACTGTCACCGTCGCAGGTGTTCGGTGCCAAGGACGGAAGGATCTTAGTGCCCAGAGAGGACAAATCCTGAGGACACACGTTGGCTAACACCTCGAGAAAAACTGTGACTCTGCAGAGCTGTCCCGCCTGCCCTTGGCCACACCTGTCCCCTCTACTGCGTCCACAGCTAACTGGACACCTACAGACCCCGCTGACCTTTTCGGCCATGCTCAGCTGCTCCTGAACTCTGAGCAGGTCGTGCTTGGCTGTCGCCAGACTCTCCTCCAGGGACTTCTGGTTTTCCGTCTTGTCACTCAGTGTCTTCTGAAACTCAGTCTTCAAAGCGGCAACCGTGCTTTCCAAGTCACTCAAGTCCTGGGCCTTTATAAAATCCTATGAGAAATCACACGTGAGTGTAAGTTTGTGCTGACATTGTAAGTAGTGGCTGTTTTAGACGGTGATTCACCTTCACTGGAGATGAAGGCACGTGATGCTGTGCTGCGGGTGCGCCCCGGCTCCGGGGGTTGCTGACGTCCTGCCCCAGCCAGCTGCACCCCAGCTCTGGGGGCTGCTGACCTCCCACCCAGGCTGAATGGGCCTGGGCTCCGGGGGCTGCCAATAAGCCCGGCTCGCCTTCGGCCCCCATGCACAGTGACCTGCTCGGGGCCGAGCACAGGTCACTGACTCCCAAACACGGGCAGCACGGGACTCCGAAGGGAAAAGGAGAGAGCAGAGACCCCAGTTCTGACACGGCCGTGCGTCTCAGAGCTGGGGCGGCAAACGGGCTTTACTCTGGAAAGTCACGTTTACAGAAATCCCGGTGGAGAAGTTTGAATGCCACACACGAAGAATAAAATCAGTACACTCACATCTTAACTCTACCTTCATCACTGCTTACAATAGAGAGTTATGAGAGCCCGATTTGTGCTTGCTGGTTTTAAGGTTCGCAAGTTTACAGGGTTTAGGTGTCTCACACTGGTGCACATGCACATTTGCAGGTTGTGTCGGCGTGATGCAGCGGCTGGGTGCTCTCCCTAGGCCTGGTTCCGACGAAATAAAATCCGTAGCGGGAAGCAGCAGTTGTATTAACACGACACAGGAGACGGGGCTGCGGCTGCTCAGTGTGAAGTGGCAGCAGTCGTATCAGCGAAAGGAAAACCCCCGACTCATTCTGATCAGGCCTTTAGGAAGATTTGGTTTCACTGCAGCTAGGAAGGCGTGTATGGACTTTGCTTTTGCCAAAATCTTAAAAGTAAAATTGGAGTGAAGTACAAAAGACTTTTTAAAACAAATCCAGAATCTAAAAATGTTTGTAACTGTTTTACTTTTGGGCAATGATAAAGCTGTTCTGGAGGATTTAGCTCTGTGTTATAAATCTGTGGTCCTTGGTATATAATGATCAAAACTTGTGTTATTTTCCTTTTCTTTTTAGCCATAAAAGAAGTTCCCCCTAGTTAAAAAGCATCTACGGCAATATCTGGGGTCTGCTTCACGCACACCAGGGGCAGGGGGGCAGCAGAGGTAAACAGGACGTCCGACAGGCCACCCTGACGACTGGTAACGCTGAGCGGTCTGCACCCGGGGGTGCATCCTAGTCTCTCTGCTTCTGTGCGCATTTGACATGGCCCATGGAGAAAGGGTGACACAGCCCATGGAGAAAGGGTGACACAGCCCGAGGAAGCTGGTTTGGGGACTGTTCAGGAGACGTTTACAGCGACACCACCACCACCACCGGAAGAGCCGGTGCTGCCCGGAAAACTCGCTTGGGTGGCCCATGGACCGGCCCGAGGCAGCACGCAGCCTTGGCAGCGGAAGGGCCGCAGGAGCAGGGCTGCACGCACAGTGACTTCCGGCGGCCGAGCGGCCGGCGCTCGGAGGCACACGCAGACGGGCCTGGACGCCGCTGCTGCACCAGCACCACTACACATGGGTGGGGGTGAAGCTTCGCGACAGGTGAACCGCTTCTATTTTATCATCCACACCGAAAGCAAACTAGTAAGTTTTATATGATAAAGCCCACATATAAATACAATGAACTAAAAACTCTTCCTTTCTTCATTTCCTTTTTCCCCACTGTAACTGGAATGTCAAAGTGAAAGGTCCAAAACTTTAAAAAAATACATTTAAGAATCTCTTGCACGCCAATGAGCTCCCAGGACAGGTGAGATGAGATCCGTCGCTGGCCCTGGAAGATGGACAGAGGGACGGGCGCTGCTTCTTCCCTGGCCCCTCCTGGACAAGGAGGTCCCCGGTGCGCACAGCAGTGACAGGGGAGTGGCGGGGTGGGTGGGTGGGGCATGAGGGGCAGTGACTGGGCGTGACCTTGAACTGGGAACTCTAGCTAGTGGACGTGAGAGAGAGGGCCAACCCTGTCTCACCTGCTGGTTTCCCTGCTCCAGCTGCAAGCCGTGCAGTGCGCTTTCCAGCTTCGCCTTCTCCTCCAGCGCAGCCGTGGCCTGGAACCGAGCGCAAAGAGAACGCGTTCAGGACTCGGTCTGTAAGCGACTCTCCCGAGGAGTCTGTGGGCTATCTCTCAGTTACCTGTATCTCAAGGGTCTTCAGCCTTGACTTCAGTTTCTCATTTTCTTCTTGAAGTCTTAAAATTTCCTTTGTGAGAAAATTCAAGTTTTATTATTTTAGCCCAAGTATTTGAAATGACTTGTTTCATGTAAGAATTTAAATTGGCCCTGGCTGGTGTGGCTCAGTGGGTTGAGTGCTGGCCTGCAAACCAAAGGGCTGATGGTTTGATTCCCAGTCAGGGCACATGCCTGGGTTGTGGGCCAGGTCCCCAGTAGGGGGTGCATGAGAGGCAAGCACCCACTGGTGTTTCTCTCCCTTTCTTTCTCCCTCCCTCCCCTCTGTCTGAAAAAAACAAACATATACAATTTTAAAAATAAATAAATAAAAATTTAAATTAACTTTAAATTACCCAACAGATCAGAAACCTGCACGTCCTGGTGACCGGTAACAGCCTGATTTTGCCCAGCCACCCACCTCGGCACCTGCGAACCTCCCTCGGCCCTGAGACTCCTGGTTCCTCCTCTCCCGGTCTCCGACTGTCTCCGCCCTCTGCTCTCAGCATTCTCCAGAGCCCCCCTCCCCCGCCCTCTTTGCCCTAGCTGATGCTGCAACTCTTGGCTCTCCTCTCAGCCTGCAGGCACACCACTGCCACTGTCCTCAAACACGAGTGTCACCACCCTAGCGCGCTGCCCCTGAGCCCCTGACGGTTCCGACGCAGCTGAAGCCGAACGCCTTTGCTTGCAGGCAGCTGCCGCCCTGGACTCACCTGTCGGTCCTCCTCATTCCTACTACGCTCTGGCACACACACAGCGACCCAGTCCCGACCACGCCGGCCTCCCCCGCCTCTGAGTGTGGCCTGTTCTGTGCCCCTGCTGGCTGTGCCCCTTCTCTTCCCTCTGACCACTTAGCCCGTCTTTACCCTCAGCCCGGCTCGGGCACGGCCGTACCCAAAGCCTGTCCTCGCCCGCCCTCACACCCAGAACCGTCTCCCGGCTGGCCGTGGCGCCCGAGGCAGCACGTCAGTGTTGTCCGAGCTCCGTTTCCAGGGCGTGAGTTCTCCCTTCTCAGCCGGACTGCCAGGTTTCTGAGGGCGAAAGGCCAGGCGGTATACCGCTTTTTACCTAACAAGACCTAGCGTACTGCTGACAATATAGATCACGAAAAATATTTATTGGTATATCGGTAACTCATTGCTATAAACCTCTTAATGAAAATCCCTTCATTGCTATGACAGGTTATAAACTGCAAACGCCCACTGATGAGCGATGCCCGAAATCCCCCAGCTTCGCGTCGCCACGAAGACACGCGACCGGGAGCTGCCGCCCCCGGGACGCGCGGTGCGGCGTGGGGAGTGTGCTCAGGGACAGGGGAGTGACTGTGTGTAACGCCGGGGGTGTCAGAATCATCGGGGGTCCATCGGGGGGACCACCCTGTAACCGACACAGATGTCTAACCCCTATGCTGTACACCTGAAACGAATATAAATTAATACTGAACGTCAACTGTTATCAAAAACAATTGTTTTAAGAAAGAGCTGCTTCAGACTTCCTGACAGGTAAGTGCACGCTCTCCTAGCCCGCTGGCTGCCGTCAAGTGAAACAGTCACAGGGGACGAGCCACCCTCGGTGGCCCAGAGCAGGAGCCAACCTCCTCCTCCTCCGTGTCTCCACTCCAGAGTCGGGCAGGCGACAAGGGGACAGAAGAGGGGGTGTGCGTTTCTCAAAGGACGGCCACGTCACCTTATTCAGGAGCTCCGCCGTTCCACCCTCGTTCAGTGGGGCGAGTTTTGGCTTTACGACATCGATGGCGGGCTGAAACGAAACACGGAAACCGCGCTGAAAGCGCCACGCTGACTAAGTAAATCTGCACAGTTTTCGAGCGCTCACGCTGTCTGAGTGGGGGGGCTGTGCAGACAGGCCCCGGGAAGTCAGCTCCACGGGGAGGGGGGTGTTCTCATAGCGTGGGTCTCTGCTGCGCCCCAGGGCCCAATATAAATTAGACACACAGATGGAACCCATCCTTCCTGTACTTTCTTCAGAAAAACACAGATAGAAGGAAAGAAGGGGAGACAAGGAGGGACGGTGCTCAAACCCAGAGCAGGTATAAACCCTGACATCTTGGGACTGGGTTTTAAACTGTGGGGGCAGGGACGTCTTTCTGCACGAACCCAGACTCTGGACAAATGTAATATTGATGAGGATCTCGGCAGCTACACTACAGAGGAAGAGCAACTTGGCACGAGTATTCTGGCAGCTTAACAACATGTACAAAAAACAGAAGAATCCATTCCCTTGGACCAGAAATGTCTTAGCCAGAAACACGATCCGAAGGAATAACTGGAAAATCGCTTTGGACGTGTATGTTCTCGGGTTCTCTCCGGCAGCCCCCGACCGCCCGACACGGGGGTGTTGACGGGGCAGTGTCACGTGGTCACCGCGAGTGACGGGAATGATGAAAAAGAGAAGTAGCTAACTGTCAGTACAGTCTCCACACGGCAGGTGAGGATAGCGAGGCTCGGCCGTCCCGGGGAAACTGCTCAAGGTCACGTAGCTCAGGATGCGCACCCAGGTGTGGCTAACCCCAAACCCATGCTCTGCGTCATCAGAGCGGGGGGCTGACAGCTGACAGGGCTGGGAGCCAGGTGTGGACGGTGGAGGGGAGGGGGGGAGGGAGGGAGGGAGGGAGATAGTTTGAGAGAGAGAGAGAAAGAGAGTGTGTGTGTGTGTGAGAGAGAGAGAGAGAGAGGTATCAAAAACAGTTTTTCACAGTTATTTACAAAGCTTTTCTTCTTTTGCCCGAAAATCTGGGAGATAGTTTTTTAGTCCTGCTCTAAAATGGAATGCTTTTCCTTGAGCGCTCTCACTTCAGCCTTGGAGTGCTCCGTGTAACTGCGGGATTATTAAAGACTGGCTGTTAAGATATGGTCTTAAAATGACCACAAATTACCTTTTTGTTGGAAGATGTAAATTCTGCTTTTTCAAATTCTGCAACTTGTTCTAATAATTCTCTTGAAGATAAAAGCAAATACAAAAAATATTTGAAATACATTTTAAATAAAGCCACACACACAAGAATAAAATCATTTGTACCAATCTGCCCCGTGCCAGAGAGAACAGAGCAAGATGAACACCTCACCGGGTCAGAAATGGTATTCCGTTACTAATGGTGGGGAGTCCAAACACGGGGCCTCCACTTGGAAAGGCCCGCAGCACCTAGAACATTCCACCCCCTCCGTGCACCACGTGATCGCTAGAGCTCCCACGTGAAGACAAGCGCATCTGAAATGGGTGGTCAACTCTGGATGTCTCAGGGGCTGGACGGCGAGTGCTCCGTCACATAACGCACATCGCCGGCTGCCAGACGTTCAGGAAAGACAGGCTGATTTTAACCGAGGAGCCTCGCAAAAACGGAATGACAGCAGTTTGTGGCATCTCCTGGAAAAGCACGATAGAGTCTCCGGAAAGACAGGTGGCTCAGGTGACCGGCCTGATCGCCACCGCCACCTGTAAAGGGGAGAGGGAGCTGACCCCTCCCTACTGTGCGCCTGCGCCCTCCGCGGGGGTCCACGGCTGCGCTGGTACTTCGGTAATAGCGCCCCGGGGTCAGAGGTCAGTCGTTCCTGATCTCTGGCAGGACTTTTCTTAGAATGGGTTTCAATTTTGCCAATTATACCATGTTTTTAAAAATTAATGCACTGTTTGATAATGTTTGGAATATGAATGTTTTTCTACATTTCCTATTTTAAAGATAAGTGTCTAATTTCCAACGTGATTATTTAGAAGTAAACTTCCAATATTAGTCTGAAGTGATGGTATCTGAATTATTTTTTCAAATGTTTCATAATCTTTATTTCCTAGTCACCCTATCTGTAAATAAAGACTTCTTATCATACCGATCAGGCTAACAAAGACACTGTGAGGAACAGATAGTAACAGCCAAAAAGCAGTTCCATAAATCTCACGTGCCCTCCCAGGACCAGATACGGTAGGAGGGGGCTCTGATGGGCCACGGAGCGGCACCCAAGAGGTCCCCAGACACGGAAGCCTTGCCGCCGTCCCCCGCCCGGGCTCTCACGCACCAGCCCCGGGGACAGCAGCGGCAAAGACGTCAGGTAACTTTCAAGAAGGTGCTTGGGTCGCTGCTGTCATGATCGCAGGTACCGACTTCACTACCTGTTTTCAAGTTCCGAGATGTCTGTCTGCAGCTTGAGGTACCACTTCTCCGCTTGCGCGAAAAGCTGCCGCAGGAGCAGCACGTTGGTGTGCGCCGTGTCGATGAGCTCGGACTCCACCTCGCTGTGCACCACGGCCCGCAGCCCGCGCAGCACCTCCGAGACCTCGTCCGCAGTGAAGGTCTCCTCCACCAGCCTGAAACACAGCCGCCCAGACTTCCGCACGCACGCACGCACGCACGCACGCACGCACGCACGGCGAAGACCGCTCCCACAGCCCAGGGGAGCCAGTCGCCCCGAGACGCCTTGGGTCTGCGGGGGCTGCTGGGACGGTGTCCCTGGGAGCTATCTTCCTTATTGTTAAAGCAGGTCAAAAATAAGCTGAACTGAATTTTGATGTCTATTTAAACAATTAAATTGTGGCTCAGTTGTCAAATGTGGACATCCTTTAATACAAGTATATGCTCAGAGACATTCCCCCAACGATTTACTTTTTTCTTTAACTTTCCAGTTTTAAAATCTTTTTTATTCTCCTCTAACATTCATCTTACCGCCCTGGCTGGTGTAGCTCAATGGACTGAGCGACGGCCTGTAAACCACAGGGCTGCAGGTTCGATTCCCAGTCAGAGAACACGTGTGGGTTGCAGGGCAGGTCGCCAGTGCGGGGCGCTTGAGAGGCAACCACACACTGGTGTTTCTCTCCCTCCCCATCTCCCTCCCTTCCCCTTGTCTAAAAATAAATAAAATCTTTAAAAAAAATTGTGTTTAAAATCCGTCTTACCATGATAATTTCAAAAGTCACCCGGAAGATGTAATTTTGCCTTTATTTCTATCATTTGTCCAGGACTCAAAAAAAAACAAAAACAAAACCCAAAAATATCGACTCTGAAACTAACTCCCCTTAGTTACAGCTCCCAGGACCACCGACCACGCACCCAAGAGAACATCCCCCTTGACTGCCACGCTCCAAATCTACCTCCCACATGGAGCTTAGTGTGGGAGGGAACTTGGGGCCGACTTCTTCAATGCCCTCACTTTAGAGACGGACCACAGGCTCAGAAGGTGGAGGCGACGCGCCCACAGTCCCCGGGGGTGACAACCCCACAGTCGAGTCCTGCTCCCTCAAGGACCTGCCCCACAGCTGAGTCCCGGAGAGCGCTCCCGGGCACGCCCCCTCCTCTCAACGGGCCTCTCCGCCCCCGCCTCCACCCCCAGCGTCCGGACCCAGCTCTGCCTTCTTCCTCATGTCCAAAAGGACCTAACCAAGGGACCTGCACAGAAGTCCACTCACAGTTACCCTCAAGTTCATATAATCTGATCTGCCATTCTTTAGTGTCTCATTTAGCCAGCAGAGTTTACGTGCTGTGAAAAAAACAAAACTTGAACTATTTTTGATGGAAGTCTTAACTAAATACATTAACACTCTATGTCCTTTAACAGAACACACCAAATCTGCCTTAAAACAACCTGGTTTTTTTGGCAACCAGATTCCATTCTTAGAACAGCGGTTAAGGTGCATGGAGTGGGTGATGAAGGGCCTTTAGGGGCGGTCCTGCCGCCTCGCCCACCAAACGGCTGCTCTCTCCTGCTGGGGGCTGGGACACCGTCAGCCAGACCAGATCAGTGGATGGGACCATTGGTGGCTGACACCTCAAGGTCTCCGCTGCCCAGGGAAGTTCATGGCTTTATGGCAGGCACAGCACGTCTGGAGGACTTTTTCATTTCGGTCTTCCCCCTGCCACAGCCTCACTCCAAAGCAATCTGAAGTCTCTCTAGTATTCGGTCCTTTCCTTTGGTTTCCCTAGTATTCTCGAGATCAAACACCAATTTTCTATGGTCTGTTTCCCCTGCTCCTAATTCTTCAATATGAACTGCACAGGAGTTTTTTTTGCAAACTGTCATTCATATCTTATGGCTCTACTCTCTTAACTTGTAACTCAGGTGGTTCAAGTTCTGGTATCTTTGATACAAGCCCGCCATTAGCCCATAAGCGCTTCACAACTTCCTGACCGCCCTTTGGAAATGCTGTAGCCCGAGCATATGTCCTGCTGGATAACAGGCTGCTCCCACCACAGGTTGAGGGTCACGGACCCCCAAGGCCTCGAGGCCGCTGGGGGAACAGCCGCCCCCGACCATCCTGGCAACGGTCTGGACAGCCTCTGCCGCAGCACCCCGCACTGGCCACCCGCACGGGTCCTGGTTCCCACTGGCTTTCCTTGCAGCCTCTGATACCTGCTCTCCTTGAGGTCCTGGAAGCAGGAATCTACGGTTTTGAGTCTCAAGCCTCTTCTTGACCGAGCAAAACGCATGTAATTCACAACTTCATTTTGATGGTGCTCATTTAGGCCCAACTCCGCCTGAAAGAGAGAGAAGTAATTTCCTTGTCAGTCTTGCGACTGTAATAAAGGAACTGACGGTAAAAACACAGGCCGTGCTCGGGCGGAGCCTGCCGGACGTCCCTGCAACCCTGTTCCCCCCGTCTTCCCAGGCACACACACGTGGCTGCCCCATGAGGGACACTTCCTAGCTCTCCCTGCGGTCAGGTGTGGTCACCTGCCTACTTCTCAGGAATGGCTGTCAGCAAAAGACATGAGGGCTACTTCCAAAGCCTGGGCCTCAAGACAGGAGGCGGGGCCTTGTCACACCCCATTTCTCTGACCCATGGAGGACGTGGTGACTAGGCTGCACCATGCAGACAGCAACCAAGCCCTAGGGGTCAGGGAGCAGCAAGATGAAAGGGACCCGGATCCCTAAATGACTTCACGGAGGAGCTCTGACCTAAGTGGGAAGGGCAGAGAGATGGCGGTTAACAGAGAAATCAACCTCCGTGTTCTTTAAGCTGCTGTTTTCTGGATCTCTTGCAGACACTCAGCCATATACTCTCTAACACAGCTTTAAAAAATAGATTTGGTTTTGACAGCCATTAATTGGTCTTGATTTTAAACCACATGACAGCTTGACAACCATGAGCTAGGGGTTAATGAAATTCTTTTCATTTCATAGCTACAGTGAACATCAAAGAAGAAAATTATAAAACGGAACATCTTATGTAGGGGACTACATTAGTCAGAATTACTTTTATTTAAAGAATAACTTGAACTACCACAGCCTTCTCAGGGGAGACAAAGGTCTCACTTCTGAGCCTTTCTTAGGCTTACCCCTCACTCTCAGCATATGGGGACGGGGCTGCCTCCAACTCTGTAGAGGCCAACGCCAAGGTCATTGGGCATGGTCTCCTTCACCACGCTTCCAGTCCCTCGCCAAGGCTTTTCTGCATTCACACCCATCCGCGCCTCTTCCTGGCAGTCTCAGTTTCCTTAGAACGTAGGTCTGTAGGAGCCAGGACCTTGCCTGCTGATTCTGAGACACACCCAGTACTGCCTAGAGGGCCTGGCACGGAGCAGGCATGTGCCCAACAAATGAACTTAGGAGCGTTGCTCCTTTGAAGGTCGCTCCCTCTTCAGGCCTTACTGGTTCTCTTTCAAACTCTTTGGGGACTTTTATTTAACCAGTCGTTCCCCCTCTCAACACTCTATTGGCTGCTTCTTCAAATGAGACTAAAGGGAAGACTACGGATATCAACCTCATTCATGCTACAAACAAAACTTGAGATTCCCTCGAGCTACTGCTGCCTCTCTCTGCTTCCCTTCTACTCCCGCCGTCCCCAGCCTATGACTATCTAGTCCTTAACCGCACATGCCACTCAAACTGCTTCTGTAAAGCTCACCAGCAGCCTCTGAACTATGCTACAAATCCAACTCCACGGCTGATGCCTTGTTCTCGGCTGGCCTGCTCCTTTCCGTGGCCGCTAACCCCACCTTTCCTTCTTGATCTCACGTGTAGGCTCATCCTCTCGGGTTCGTCTCTTAAGTATCTAGATTTCCCAGGGCTCTGCCCTTGGACGCTTGCTCTTCTCATTCCTTCCATAGGCGTCCCCTAATGACAAATCTATCTCGAGGTTTCAAGGGGACCTGTATGCCTACGACTCTCAAGTCCAAGATGCTGACCTACAGGGGTGTGTCCCCAACTGTGGATGAACAACTCCACCGAGTCTTTTTCTTTCCCCCACACCATTTTCAATATTTCTACAACTTGAGATGTGAAGGCTTCCTAATTTAAGAACCACCCAAGAATTCATAATGTGCCTAATACTGTGCCTTGTGCAGGTTAAATGGCCTGTTCCTACTTGGTAACTAACTATGTTCTCTCCTATCGAGAAGAGTTAAGACTGTCCTAACACTAAGAAGAAGAAAACTACTCAAACAGAGAAGGACGTCCTTTAGGACAAGAGGCAGAAAAGTTCCTCTCACGTGGAAGGGCATGAAGGGAGGGAGCAGAATGGGCAGCGGAGCTCAGCGGGAGGCAGGCAACGGCATCACAAACCTCTGCTTTCCCGCACACGCACATGGGCCAAATCATTACAGAAAAAGGCACAGGCTGCCGTGTGGCACAAGCAGACAAAGCACTGGGGTAAGGGCCACGTTTAAGTCTAGCTATGCAATTATTTGTGGCCAAACCACTTAACCTCAGAGACACCAGCGACACCAGTTTTGCCAGCTGTTAAATGAGAGGCAAATACGATGACCTGCTCTAACATGTTGAGAAATAATGGGAAATATCCAGATAAGGAAGTTGGGATGTTTGACTTTTGTTGCACAAATATTTTATTAAAATAATACTCATAAAAAGCTAAGAGCATACAGCAAACATCCTACCGGAGCGTTGCCAAGCTGGTGTCTTCGCACTGTGCCATAAAGTGAGGGGAGGAGGGGCGACGGCACTGGAAGTGGTTCCCTGTTCCCGACTAGTCTCAAAAAACCCACCTGCAATTTTACTGTGGGAATTGTAAAAAATGTAATGATAAAAACGAACATACGCTAAGAAAATCTAACATATATGGAATGCTTATTATTTTAACAGGCCCTGCGCTAGTTATATGCATTCGCTCATTTATCACTTTAACAACCCGTTTAATTACTACCATATCTTTTATTGAAGAAACGGAGGCTCAGTTGTTAAGCAAATCGACAGAAAGGAATGACAGAGGACAGAATGGAAGTGGATGTCATTTCGTGTGTGTGTGTGTGTGTGTGTGTGACATCACCATCAATTTATCAACTTGACCTTGATATTTTATTGAAATCAAGCATGAGTGGGACAGGCTCGAAGATCAAGAGGGGTGGGGAGCGGCTCAGGGCTGTACTGTCAGCTGCAAGAGCGTGATCGGATCAGCGCGCGGGCTCAGTGAGGGATTCTGGTTGCTGACTTATTTCAGTATCCCATTTCAGCGGGGCCCCCAACGCCGGTGTCATCTCTTTTCTGAACACCCCAGTACTGTGCAATGTTCTAAGTACTGTTTTAGCGTACAAGAAAACGGGCCTCTTTTCAACAGATCAAAACAAATGTTGCCCAAGTTCCCTCAGCTGCAAAATGGGGGGTGGGGGGGGGCTTGGCCTCTGACATCAGAAAGCTGGATTCAGTCACGTTCTCCCTTCTTGGCTCGTTAACACAATTGCTTATGCTGCCGAGGCGTGGGTGTGTATACAAACTTGGTGTTTTGGGGAGCGAATGAGAATCCTGCCCTTCGCCTTCTGCTCGCAGCCGGGTCACCCAGCTCGCTCCATTATTGCCCACGAGGTGTGACCCGGCCCTGGCACCTCATCCAGAAGCGAGGACTGACGCGACGCGGCGGTGCGAAGCTGCTAGGCAAGGGCTTTGGGACGGGTTAACTGAACCTCGGCATCCGGTGCGGCCCCCACTCCTCAGCGGGCGCAAACCCGCTGCAGGTCAGGCCGTCACTCCGCGGCCCCGCTCTGCGTCTCCAGCCCCGGCCAGCGCCCACTGCCTGGCGCGGTGCGGCGCCAGCGGGCCGGCTACTCACCATGACGGCCGGCGGGAGTCGGCAGCCTCCGGGAGAGGTAGAGGCCAGGCGAAGCCCCGCTCAACCCCGGGCTGCAGAAGGAGATAGGACCGCAGCGGACGGGGAGAGTGGGCGGGTTGTTTAGAAGCCTCCGGTTGCTAATGGGAACAGAGGCACGTGACCCTGAAATCGCGCGATTTTATTGGTCCTTAAGATCACGTGACAGGAAGTGCCCCGTGACAGGCTGGCCTCCGCATGCGCATTGACTTCCAGAGCCGGGAAGTCCCACCTTTTCGCGCCACGCTGTCTTTGGGGGCTCGCCGCGTTGCCAAGGGTGACGGGAGGTGAGATTTTTGCCTCGCGACTCTACGCCGTAACGTGCGGTGGAGCCTGGCGTCGGACGGCTGCTGAGGGCCTATCCCTCACTTTTCGCAGCGTGGCGCCATCGAGTGCCAGGGACGTGGTTCCAAGGCTGACCGACGTTTTGACGGTCTCTTGGGACGTCGGACGCCTCCCCTCCCAGACTCTACGCTCCAGGAGTTTTTACTTGGCCGAGATAGGCCGACCCACTCGTTCCACTTTTATATTCCTGGTTAAAAAAAAAAAAAACCTAATATAAAACATCCTTTGTTTCTAAAAAAAAATCTCTAACGAAGTCGATGAAAGACCAATGAATTTCGAGGTAATTGTGCTTAAAGTCACCAGGGAGGCATGCTGAAAGAACACTTCGTGGCCTCACCCCCAGAAATCCAAGCCTAGTTTGGGTCTTTGGAATCTGCCGTCTTTACCAACATTCCGGGGGTGATCACCGACCACTCTTCAAGAAACACTGCCCCGGAAGAGCAAAAGTGTAGGATGACATAGACTATTGCACACACTGGGCTCTTGGGGCTGGGCGGGGGAAAGCCATTACGTGGCCATAGGCCATTGAGTAGGTATTTCTGCAGCCTCTGAAGACAGAAACATGAGCAAGAGGCGCTCACTGGGGAGGCAGTGAATTAGCTAAGGAGTGAGCTCAGCACATGGAAATAAGGAGCATAGACAGGGGAGCTTTCTGAGAATCTGGGGGACTTCACACTGAGGAGAGGTATTAGGCATTAGCCCTGACTCATGAACAGATACAGTCACTTAGATAATGGTTTTCAGTTTGGTGTTGATTTTGGCCACTACATGGTGCAACTTAAAATGGATCACAATTGGGACCTGAGAGTCTAGAAGGGATTTTAAAGATCGTGTTCCATCTGCTTACCTTCTGGCTGAAGAGACCGAGAGCCGGGGTCACGTGTCCAGGACCTCCGGGGGCTGGGTGGGGACACCTGAGGCCAGTGTGTGGGGTGGAACTAACACAAATAGGTTTTCAAGAGCAGAACCAGAAAGCAGATGTGGACTATTCTGGGACAGTGGGTGTAAATCATATTCTGGTTTCAAGAATTTCATTTTTCTTTTCATTTCTTGCCGCATTCATCTTACACAATGTAAACGATAGACCAAGTTATGTGCAAAGCTTAGTTTCCCAAGAACTGAGCTCGCTACTTTTTAAACTTGAAACTTTCATTGTTAGAACAAAGCGGCTGCAGTTAAATTCTGTAGAATAAAGCTAAACTTACAAAGGGGTGTGGCTTCCAAAGAGGTGCGGCTATGAAAACATGTTTATTAATTACGTGGTCAATGTGGTAAATTGGAAGTAATTAAACTAGATCATTTTCAATTTGGACAAAGGAAGCACTAGGAGGGACTAGTACTTTCAGATGAGGAAAGGTCTCCTCATCTGACAGCTCAGGAGAGTCAAAGTCTTGTCCAGTAACAGAGGCTGGCAGGGGCAGGTCTGGAATCCAAATCTGATTACTGGCAAGAGTTTCTTGACCATTTAGGCCCATCCAAATATAGGTGACAGGGCTTATCTTACAAATTTACTCCCACCCCTCTGGGTGTGAGGCCCCTCACCCTGTGTGTAGGGGAGGTTATGAACGTCCCATGATTTTTGAAAAGTGGGGAGAAGGGGCAGTTTGCCAGTTTGGATGGGGCTTCAGGAGTCTGCTCAGGTGATCCTGGGATGACATGCAGGCAGTTGCCCATGGCTGGAGCACTCTCAGGCATGAAGGGTGGTCCAGGGGCCATTGGCCCGGCTATGCCCAGCTTCACCTTGGCCTCTAAGGGGTGTTGGGGCAGAGTCTCGGTCTCCCTGCAAGCGCTGGAAGGGCTGGCTCTCAGCGGCTGCACTCACTCTGTCATGGCCTCCTCCACGCTCAGTTAAATCTCTGCTTTGCCCTGCCGTCTCTCACGTTTCTGTTCAGTGAGTGTTGGTTGAACTTGATAATAAGAGTTGCCATCATTTAGTGCCTACCGTGGGTGAGACATATTCCATTCCAGTAGCTGATCCTCACCATCTTCTTTCTCACTGCAATTGACATTCATGGAATTCACAAAGAGATAAAGTCACTTTACTAGGTGTTATGGCTCCAAGGTAAAGAAAGAATTTTATAAACACTTTTATGACCTTTGAGAAAATAAAGTTGTCTACCAGTTTGCCTTGGTCAGGAAACCGAAGTGTGCTTTCTCGCAGGCAAACTCCTGTGCTTGTCGCTAAGTGTTTTTGACACAGGTGACCAAAGCAGAGAGGGGGGAATGCAAATGTTTCATTTGTGAGTATGTTTGTGGCTTGGGGATTTTTTTAAAAGTTGTTCTACAAAGCTGCATCAGCTGGTTTTAATTTAAAATCCTATTTTCATCTAAAATCTTCTGCACCAAGGATGCGGTATCACTTCCAGCCGATCTACCCAGCTGAGCTGAATGTTGTTGTACAAGCTGTCCAAACAGAGTCGGTTAAAACGAGCACATACTCTGGCCTCACATTGATGAACTTGGCTCATGAAAAGCCTGAACTTGTGCTTTGGGTTGTTTACTGCCTTGAGTTGACCACCAAAGCAAACAATCCGAGCTGTGAAAGAGAACATTTCCACCCTATTTGAAGAGTGAGCTTCTTCGTCTCACTCTATTTTTTTTTAAGTTGGGGTGTCAATGTTTAAAATGTATGTGTGTGTGCATGCATGTGTGTGCATGCATGTGTGTGCATGTATGTGTGCGCGTGTCAATTCGAAGGGTTTGGATGGGAGGCGTCCATACAAGACCATTAAATACCTCTTGGTAGAATTCAACATAAATAAAAGGAAGCTCAACTGTGTCTTTTTGGATGATTACAAAATGAGGCTCTTAAGGTTTGAAAGTTACCAGTCACAATGGCAGTATCATTCAGTTCAAAATGTTTCCCGGCTAGCCTCGGCACAGGAGGAATCGCAAAGTGGTCGTGGTCTTCTTAGCAGTGTCGACAGACAGTGGCAGAGTGACTCATTCTGCCACTGCTTTCAGAGTCCCCTTTGTGTACAAGCTTCTTCGGCCGCGGTGAGACTCTAAGGCAGGACAGCGGAGGGGCTGGGAAGGCCTGGGTCCCTCCACTCTGTACGTCTCTGGGTGAGACAGGGGGAGGGGAGCTAAGGTGAGGCTTTCCTTAGGTGAAAAGAGAAAAGACATTTTAAAAGCAGTTAAGAAGAAAGGAGTACAGGAGGTACACAGAGAAGGCAGAAATCTTGAAGGCCTATGGGGAAGAGGGCAGTTTGAGCAAGACCGAACTGGGAGTAGGTGGAAATGGTGAGAGGAAAATCATTTGGCGAGGGGTTGCCTGGGAGGAGGCAAAGCCTTCGGAGTATGGCGCCTTGCGGGTCCTGGGGTCCACCCCATCTTCTCCAACCCTGCCCAGCTGCAGCTGAGGAAGCAGCCAAGACTTTAAAGAAGGGAAAACCCATGGCTGAAAGAGCTGTTATGGGGGCGACGGCATTTCGGTGGCTCTCCGGTAGCAGGAGGCTATTTTCAGTTCTTTGCTGTTCGCTCCCTCAGTTGGCTGGTTTCAAAACGCTCCAGTGACCTGCAGAGTGTTGGGGGGTGCTGACAAATTAGACGAGCAAAATCGCCATCCCATGCATTAAAGGAGGCCAGGCAAGGAAGTGGTTCACCATAAAACACTGCAACTCCCTTTGAGATGGTGTGGAAAACGCTAATTCTTCGCCCAAAAGATAGATTAGTTTCACTGATAAATCTCCACACATGAAAAACCTCTGAAGGAACAGAACAAATCATCAAAAAGTTAAGCCTACCTAAAAACAAGTCTGGAGCTGGTTGCAAGGAATACCTTGCTGTGGTGTACAAGAAAAATGTGCCGTGAATACGGTGACACGTGCCAAATCCCTGTCTTCACCCTCACATGCGCACACACATTTGCATAAGGTCCACAAACTCTGTCCGTGGAAAATGGATACATGAAAGGCATTGTAGGGAGCAAGATGGCATTTGTCCCCTACACCAGTAGCCTTATAATCAAGTCAAGGGGGAAAATAAGCAAGCTTGCAAAACCATCTCAAAGCACACAAGAAGTGGCATGGGCCAGAGAGGGGTGCGTCACCTTGACCTTTAAGTCAAGAGAAGTTCAGAAGGCAGTGGAATCGGAGCTGGGCTTTAAACGGCGTGTGGCAGAGCCAGAGGTGGCCGAGATGGTGGTGAGGGAGCGAAGGGGGTCCTGAGCCACGAACCAGAATTTTCATCAGGTGAAGCGGGAGAGGCCCCCAGGGATGTACATGTAGATTTGTCATTGTTTCGAATTGCAGCAAGGGACAGCCGGCGTTGGACTGCCTGAGCCAGTCTTGTGCAGGAAGGCGGGCCCTGCTAGCTCTGTGATCTTCGCTGGATGTCCGCCGGCCCACCGTCCGTGGACAGGCGTTTGCCCCATGCACTCCAGCTCACAAAGCAGAAAGCCACCTTAAATTTGCTCAGAAAGCGTTGCCTACAAAGACAGGATGCTTTGGAAGGTCTGAACGGCCCAGGGCAAGCTGTGCTCATGAAGGGAGGTTTTCTCAACGAGAGACGGGTAAAGAGAATGAAGGAAACATCCTTCTTAGTTTATACATGTTTGCCTTTTCCACTACGACATTTCAAGCTCCTTGGTGGAAGGAATCTTTATCTTATGATCAGCTTGAGCCCTCCAAGCAGGGGCGGGGCCATAAAAAGCCCCCAAATGGCAGAAACGAGGTCCCTGCTCTCTGGGGCCCTAACTGTGCAGTGGGGAAGAGAGAGACCCCCTGGAAGGTCATCTC